CACCAGAAGGTGGAGGAGGCCAGGAAGGATTCTCTCTTAGAGCCTCCACAGTAACATGGCTCTGCCAACACCTTGATTTCAGACTTCTGGCCTCCAGAACTATGAGAGAATAAATTTCTATTGCTTTAAGCCCCCAAGTTTGTGGTGCTCTGTTAAGGAAGCCGTAAGAAACTAATACATCCCTTATTCCTGCCATTGGCTACCTTTCTGCAGTTAGAAAACTAAGGACCTGAGAGCAAGAAAGAAAAAGACAAGCTTTGGGGTTGAAAGGAGGTGATAAAACTTTTACCACAATTTTATTCTAGCTCAAAGCCTTGTCCCAAGAGGTTTAGCCCATCCAAGTTTCCAGAAAACCCAGGTGGAAGATGGATTGAAATGTCCCTGGTCTCACCACTTGTTCCAGGACCACGAGTAACTCATCATCAAACAGGACTGCCTGCAGGATGGTGCTCAGAGCCGTCTGCTGCTGCTCTGGCAGCTCCACGAAAGGATGGAAATTCCTCTCCAAGTGCAGAGTCACTGTGAAAACAGAGCATAGCCAATCCCGTGACTGCTGTGCATATCTCGCAACACGGGACAGCAACCCCTGCTTTTTATAACTCATTGTCATCAGTGCTTTCACAGATGTTCCCAGCTGCAGAGTCAGTCATAGGACTCGGAAATAAAGAATGAATTAAACGCCACCCAGCATGTTTTTCAATAACCAGTCAATCTGCTGCAGGAAGGAAGGGAGGGAGGGAAGGAGGGAGGGGGAGACGGAGGGAGAAGTGGGAAGCCTGGCTCTGTATTTCAGGCTTCACTGTTCTCTGATGACTCACTGGACATTAAGTCTAATCAATTATTTTCTGGAAAAGTCTTTTAGATTCCACTTTAGCATGATTTCTGTAGAAGTAAATTATCAAGGCTGAATTATTAAACCTAAGTCAGTACTTTTAGATGCTTCTGAGCCATACAAATTCCAAAATACATTACTTTTCATGTCCTTTCCTGTAAGATATTGCAGATTTTGTACCCTTTAATATTTAACACATTTTCAAAGGGGCTATCACCCTATTTTCATGGCAAACACAGCTATTCCACTATTTCCATCCTTTCCTCTTTCTCTTGTCTAAAAGGTGAGCACTGAGGTGCATCCGGCTGTGTTACCTGTGTCCTCTACATGAAAAGTAATGTATTTTGGAATTTGTATGGCTCAGAAGCATCATAAAAGCACTGACATAGCGAAAGCCTTATCTTAAGGTTGGGCCTTCGTTGCCATTTCTTCCAACACTGACATTTTTCTATTTTGTTGGCTGGCTGGTACAGGATCTGATCCCGTGACCTTGGTGTTTAACACTGTGCTCTAACCAACTGTGCTAATCAGCCAGCCCCCAACATTGGTATTTTTTGCTGCAGAAACTAAAGCAGCCTCTGGTTTGGAACTCAAGGAAGCCCCACTGGGGAGGTCTCTCTTCTTACCNCATGAAAAGTAATGTATTTTGGAATTTGTATGGCTCAGAAGCATCATAAAAGCACTGACGTAGCGAAAGCCTTATCTTAAGGTTGGGCCTTCGTTGCCATTTCTTCCAACACTGACATTTTTCTATTTTGTTGGCTGGCTGGTACAGGATCTGATCCCGTGACCTTGGTGTTTAACACTGTGCTCTAACCAACTGTGCTAATCAGCCAGCCCCCAACATTGGCATTTTTTGCTGCAGAAACTAAAGCAGCCTCTGGTTTGGAACTCAAGGAAGCCCCACTGGGGAGGTCTCTCTTCTTACCCTCCAAGCCAGAGCACATTCTGAGCTGTTCCTAGCTCTTTTTCCTAAGCCCTTACCTAATTATTTGTTCTTGATATTCCCTGTCCATCTCCTCCTTCTACTACACACTGCTGTCCCGCACCCCACCAAAACGAAACCAACTTTTAAAAACACAACATGCTGGGCCGGCCCAGTGGCGCAATGCTACAGTGCGCCGCTTGGGAGTGCAGTGGCGCTCCCACTGAGGGTTCGGATCCCACATACAGACCAGTTCCCACTCACTGGCTGAGCGAGGTGCGGGAGCAACCCCG